GGAACGGACCCGAGCGGCCGGGCGCGGGCGGAGGTGGGGGACTTGGAGAGAAAGTGTCGCCTAGAGTAACTTCGAGCTTCGTTTTGTCGTTTGCATGAGTCCTTACTCGCGGTACGTCAGCGATATTTGTTGCACCGCCTTATAATGTTTGTGAGGGTGTGCGTGATTGCATCGAGGGCATGAGTAGACTTTTTTTTTTTTTTTTTTTAGCAAACTGTTGAACTTGCAGTGCGTTCTGATTCTCTGAAAGCATGATTTGAGACGCACTGAGGTCGTTCGGGGTGATGGCTGAGCACTTTTTTTGAGAGGACAGAAAATGTAATTTCCTCTTGCTCCTACTGGTGACTTTCAGAGACATTATAAGCCTCAGGAGGCATTATACGCCACTTGGCTGAGCCACTTTTCTTGACTCTTGAGTGCCATCAGTAATCGTTGTGTCTAATAGTCACCAAACTGAGCGAACACCTGGAGCCTAGAACATTCGGCACAGCACGTAGACTTTGCTAGGCCCCGTGGGCAGTGCACCGTATGCATGGAGAAATAGAAGCAAGCCACAGAGGTCTAAAACACATTCTCAAAGAGGTTCAGGAGTTTTTGATGCCTCATTCACTTGGGAACCTGTCAAAAAGCACATTCATAGGTCTTGAACTAAATCCACTGAACGACACGTTTCAAATAAGTATTTAAATTTGAGAAACTTCTTCTTTGAAAGCAGTGCCAGCGTTCTAAGGTTAAGAAATGATACTGTGCAGGGGGGGCTGGGTGGCTCAGTGGGTCGTGCATGGGACTTCGGAGCAGGTCATGATGTCAGGGTTTGTGAGTTCGAGCCCTGCGTCCAGCTCTGTGCTGACAGTGCAGAGCCTGCTTCGAATCCTCTGTCTCCCTGTGTGTGTCTCTCCCCCCCCCCCGCCCCCCACTGCTTGTGCTCTCTCTCTCTCTCTCTCTCTCTCTCTCTCTCTCTCGCTCCTTTTCAAAAATAAATAAACATAAAAAAAAAGAGCCAGTCACAGAAGCAGGTGAGAGGAGAGTATATACAGTGGACTGTCTCTTGCTAAAGGGTAAATGCCAAACTACCAAGTACTTGGAGGACACTTCAATACACTGGTGCATATTTTTATCATCTCTAACATGTTTCCTGCTCTCAGTTTTTGCCCTGAGACTTTCACAGCATCTTAACTTGCCTCTCCACTTTCCCCATTGACTCCTAATTAAACTGCCATCAGTGCTTACAGTCCACCCCCAGACTAGGCACTTTTCAGAAACTGGCAAAAACCATAGTCCGTATTTCTGTATCCCCTGCCTGGCACACCGTTTGGGGGCTAGGACATTTTAATTTAATAACTACTTAACAACGTCCATATGTATTCGGTGAATGTGGGGGGAGAAAGCAGGTAAAATAGAACTAGTTAATGAACAACTTTGCAAGCTGGAAATTTGTCCTTTAGGAAACCATTCTAGGTTCTCTGTGAGAACAGTGACATTAAATAATCAGAAGCCGGGTTCTGTGGAGTAGACACCATGACATTAACCATGGAGGGGAGTCCTTAGACTGACACTGAAGGGAGCATTCGGTGCCTCGTCTTAGTGGTGGCTGTGAAAAAGGAATGAGCTGAACCTTATTGCAGCATAAAAATCCCTGGGATTTGTCGGCTACTGGCTTGGGACCAAAAGAGAGGCATCTGTTAGTTATGTAACTCCAAGGCTGGAATAAGGAAACGAATGATACTGGGAGAGCAGTAGGCAAGTTGGGAAGGAATGTTGCTTTGGGGAGGGGTGTGAACAGAGGATGTGAGTTTCTCCTTGACACATTAAGCTCGATGTGGCATCTTTGCTTAGTTCTGAAGGCAGTGAATAGTTCTGAAGGCAGCTGGGCATACCAGGCTGAAGCAGGTGGAGGGATCTCAAGGTTGGAGATTTGGGAAGCTTTGGCCCACAGGCAGGAGCTAAAGCCAGGAGTCAGAGAAAGCCTGCCGAGGGAGGGTGTGGAGCCAAAGAAAGATAGAAGAGATCCAAAGGGCACAGTGCTCTGTAAGCCGAAGGAGGATATCATTCCAAAGGACAGACATCTCTGCTTACATTACTCAAAAATGATGCAAATCCCAAAGGCCCTGAGAGAGTCTGGCCCGTAATGAGTTTGGTTCTTTTTTTCTTTCTTTCTTTTTTTTTAAATCCCCTTGGTCTTTTGGTTTGTGTTGTTGCCAGGAATAAAATCAGCAGCCAAAGGATTCGGAGGAAGGACAGCTGAAAGTCAGGAATAATTGCGTCATAATTATAGGATCGCATACAACATACATAAGTGTTTTTCTGGTTTACACGTGGGCTTTTGGGAACACGGTTACCACACAGACCCCCGTGCCCTCGCAAATCCTCTGTCTCACCTTCTGCCTGTGCTCCTTTCTGCCCCTTTTTTTCTGAGAGGACTGATTCTGCCACCCCCTTCTTTAGACTTGATCTAAGTGTGGTAGCCTCTCCGGGACCACTCCTTCTGTTCCCCTTTGGCAAACACCCTTCCATCCCCTCTGCTAGTGCTCCCCTTTTGAAGCCCAATTTGGGCTGGTAGGAACTGGGCTTTATCTGTCTCTGTCAGTCCCCACACTGCCTAGTGCCTGTACGTGCACATCACGTCTCGCTGACACAGAGATGGGCTGCTAGATTGCTCTTCCAGAAAGAACGCCTGCCTGGTCCTGTCAGTTAAAGTGATACTGGGAAGATCATCACTGACATCCCATTGGAACATTAGCTTTTAGCCAAATTGCCCAAAATAGCTGCTTCCAGTTTAGTCCGCTATTTGTTCCAATTTCTAAATCAGGCACAGAGACCATGCACTTTTAATTAGCACATGTTTTAGTGGTCAAAGGTAATTGCCAGCAGATTGGCAGCTTATAGGAATTAACTACAAGGAGGCTTCTCCCAAAAGTTTATTCCCAAAAGGTCATCGTGATGCAGTGTGATGCTCTCATTGCTTCGTTTCCTTTATTGTTTAGTGTTTACATCAATGACGTGCCCTTTTTGCGTCATCTTGTTCCATTTTATTTCTGCCATTGCTTAATAGTGACTTGGGCCTTTCCAGTTCTTCTGAGGCATAAAAAAGCACAGACGTTAGACTTAGAAAACCTGAGTTTGAATCCTGCCTTCCCCCTTCCCTGACCTTTTGACAATCCATGACCTCCCTGGACTTAATTTTCCTCAATTTCAAAATCAAGAGATATTCCCTTGTGTTGTAATGTTCTGTGGATCTCCTCAAGGCAATAGTTCTCAGGCTCGACTGAACTTTGGGAATCACCCGGGGGGGGGGGGGGGGGCTTTAAAAAAGCCCCGTCCCTGGGTCCTACTCCTGAGATTCTAAAGTACTTAGTCTGCCGCATGGCCTAGGCCTGGACCTAGATTAAAAGCTGCTGGGAGGGGCGCCTGGGTGGCGCAGTCGGTTAAGCGGCCGACTTCAGCCAGGTCACGATCTCGCGGTCCGTGAGTTCGAGCCCCGCATCGGGCTCTGTGCTGATGACTCAGAGCCTGGAGCCTGTTTCAGATTCTGTGTCTTCCTCTCTCTCTGCTCCTCCCCCATTCATGCTCTGTCTCTCTCTGTCCCAAAAATAAATAAACGTTGAAAAAAAAATTAAAAAAAAGCTGCTGGGTATTTGTAAGCAGCCAGGTTGAGTTCCGTTGCCTTAGGAAAGAATTAAGCAAGATGAGGCTCTAATTCAGAGTCATATACCTCATTGAGCCCTTTCTGATGCCAGTTAAGCTCATGCATTTTGAGATCACTGCCCTCTGAATGCTAGAGTAAATTTCGCACTCATATGCTACCCAAACTAGTTGCAAACATGCATGAAAACAAATCAAAAGGACAAACCTCTAATCCGGAAGGTTATTACCAACCCTTTCTGTGCCAACTAGAACACCGTGCGAGGCACAACCTCCCGATCATCCCATTAGCCGACTATCATGGTCCTCTGTGCATTGTCAAGACATTGCCATTGGATAGGGAGCAAAGTCTGGTGATAATTAAGAGCTCTTGATTAAATCAGCCAAAACAGCTGGAAACCATTCCTTAGAAACACTATCATTTTAAACAATTAGAGGAAAGCATTCTCTTTTATTGTCACTTACCGAAATGCTAGCTAGCTTTAGCATTTAACACAGAGTGTAGTGGTGCTGTTAAAAGAGAGAAAAAAATTACTCCTTTAAATATGGTGGCACCGTAGGCAGTGAGGTCCTTTCCAAGACCTTTGTGACAACTGGGATCAAATCTTATTCATTGCTGTATCTCCTTTACGTTGAACAGATTAGGTGCTCAGTAAACATTTGAAGGAGAAAAAGAAGAAAACACGGCAGGAGTGAAGAGAGAAACCTCAAGGACATAGAGACAAGCAAACAGGTAAATCAGAGTTTTGGAAGAGGCTTTTTGTGGTAGACTGGAAAAAACAGCCTCAATTTCTTCCCCTGGCTGTATGCATTCTCGCAATTGACTTCTCCCAGAAGTACATTCTTTCTCCACTCAATCCGGGCGGGCCTTGCAACTTTGGCCAATGAGACAATGACAAACGTTGGGCAGGCAGAGACATAGAAAATGTGAAGACTGGGCTTCCTTTTGGAGGAGAGGCCCCAGTCATTCCATCCATTCCAGATGAGGCCACCGTAAATCAGCCAAACCCACCAGCTCAGCAAAGATTCAAGAATGAGTCTAGCCCAGACCAACCAACATCAGACCACCCCACTGAGACGAGCCGTGACTGTCAACACAGAGGAGCGTGAGCTAAATAAAATAGGTATGTTAAGGCCACTTATTTTAAGTTTGGGGTGGTTAGTTATGCACCCCATAATCACAATTGCTAATCATCACTACGTAATTATTAGTTATTAGTTATAACTATTAGTTGTAACTACTATTAGTTATCACGACAACTGTAGCTAATTAATCCCATTGTAGAAAAGTCATCGTGGGAGGTATGATTTATCAAGATCTTCATTTGTGCCAAGTAGCGTGCTAAGAACTTTACACGCATTTTCTGACATGATCCTCACAAAAATTGAGTAGATGAGTATCTCCATTGCTTTAATATGTGAAGCTTGGAGAGATTGAGTAGGTATGATGGCCCTGGAATTTGAACTTATGTTCATGGGCCCCCAAGCCCAAACTCCTAACTACAGACAGTCCAAAGAGTCAACCACGGAACAAATCAGAGGGCCTGGCAGGAGATGGTAGAGATGAACAGAAGGTAACAACAATTATGGCCTCTCTTCCAGTCTGCTCTGCTGAAGGAACTGTGACGCCCTTCAGAAGAGCGATTGTGTTTTCCAACTGTTTCAAAGACTCTTAGGAAAGCCAGTAGGTTTCGTATCAGTTCTCATTTGGGGGAGAAATTGCGATTGTAATTGTAGATGGGTGCCAGGTTGCACGGGCACCTGGTTCCAGGGGTCCCAAACAGACCAAATTTAGCCACTTGCCATGGGACGAATGGAGGTGAAACCAGAAAGGAATTTGTGTCAATGAGGCCCACACCAGGAAGACCGCGGACTAACATCTGTCTCGAAAGACAGTCTCCAAAGTGCCAGGAGTACTTCCAGGTTTACAGGAAGAAAGTGTGGGACACAGGTCAGTGAGTACGTGCAGGAAGGCAGTGAAGGTCAAGTCGATCCGTGTCTTGGGGTCACATGCAGTCTGGCTGGCTCAGGGCAGTCCTTTTTGTTTGGCTGGGTGGTTTCTGTTCCTATCACAGGATGTTTGGCCCGTAGGGTCTTTTGCCTGAGTTAAGAGATAAGCTGCAAAGAATCAGTTAGGAAGGTTCCAGGTCCAAACGGAAGTAGGTAAAGTCCTCTTTCATGGATCACCGCGGAGTTGTCGGATTTCCTCTTGTGTTTGAGAAGATGGAAATAAACTGTGACAGTTGAATATTGTTTTCAAGTAAGTTAAAATAATTCTTAGGGACACCTGAGTGGCTCAGTCTGCTAAGCGTCTGACTCTTGGTTTTAGCTCAGGTCGGGATCTCGCGGTTGGTGGATGGAGCCCCGCGTCAGGCTCTGTGCCGACAGCTCAGGGCCTGCTTGGGACTCTCTCTCTCCCTCTCTCTCTTTACCCTTTCCCCTCTGGCGTACGCTCTCTTTCTTTCTCTCTCTGTCTCTCTCAAAATAAATAAACTTAAAAACTTAGTTTTAAAAGATTACATCCCATGGGACGTGCAATGCTGGTGAAGTTCGTAAAGGTAATCTTTGTCCGTAAACTGTGCTCTCCTAGTCTCTGTGTACCAGTTGAGAGTGAGAGACAGAGACATCTGCCTCTTGAATTTGTCTCAAATAAGGTAACAGAGTTGCAGTTAGACAATATCTCCGCTAATCAGACTTACCTTGAGCCTTGAGTGGGGGGAGGGGTAGCTGGAAACAAAGCCAGAACTTTAGGCCTTTGAAGCAGGCACCTGGTGGCAGCCAAACACAGTTTTTTATCCAATGAAATGAAGGTGGGGAGGGGCAGATCTGTTTGGAAATGATGAGAAGAATAAAAGAAAAAAGTCCCGCAAGCAGGTGGCGGAAGCTAGTTGTGGAGGAACACCAGAATGTTGGGGAACGCTGTTCTTACTGGTGACTCAAGGAGTCTGAGTGGCCTGTAGGTGTTTCTGCGTCTTGGATTTTCAACTGCAGAATGTATTTGTTTTAAAAGAGCAAGAATTAGGACAAACCCGGCATTTTAGGAACCACTGTTGGAGGGGAGGGAGCATGGGAAGGTTTCCCCACATGGACGAGCGGTTTTCTGGACACCAGCTGGGGGTCCCACAATTCGGCTCAATTCTGATGCTACCCCGAGATAGCGACAGTGTCCTTGGGCGAAGAGCTCGGTCCTACAAAGTGCCGCTGCCATGGCACGCCATCCCTGGCCACGGACACGCGTCCCGAGCCTAGACTTTTGTCCTCTGCTTCTGCCTGACACAGGGAGATCAGAGGGACTCCATGAAAAGCCGCTTTTTTTTTTTTTTTTTTGCTCCTTTTCCCTGCTCCTACTCTTTTTTTTTAAGTTTATTTACTTTTTTTTTTTTTTTAATTTTTTTTTAACGTTTATTTATTTTTTTGGGACAGAGAGAGACAGAGCATGAACGGGGGAGGGGCAGAGAGAGAGGGAGACACAGAATCGGAAACAGGCTCCAGGCTCTGAGCCATCAGCCCAGAGCCCGACGCGGGGCTCGAACTCACGGACCGCGAGATCGTGACCTGGCTGAAGTCGGACGCTCAACCGACTGCGCCACCCAGGCGCCCCTAAGTTTATTTACTTTTGAGAGAGAGAGAGAGAGAGAGAGAGAGCAGGGAAGGGGCAGAGAGAAGAAGAGAGAGCATCCCAGGCAGGCTCCACACCATCAGCGCGGAGCCCAATGCAGGGCTCAAACCCACGAGCTATGAGATCGGCCCCTGAGCCAAAACCAAGAGTTAGACACTTAACTGACCGAGCCACCCAGGTGCCCCTTCCTGCTTCTATTCCTGCTAGGACCTACACCCCCACCTTATACACACCTTACAGGGCACATAATGTCCTCCTTGTCGAGGTCAAGGAGTTAATGATGTCTTCCAGCATAATAGGTAACATCTTGACCAGGCAGGGTCCCCATGAACTTCCCAAGACCACTGACTCACCAAGAGCTCTGGATCCAGGGTACAGGTGACTTATGGAGGACACCTGAGCACTCATCTTTGTTCCCGAATGCCTGAGAAGACATGTGCACCAGACAGATCACAGGCAAAAGGGAGACCCGTTCTCCTTTCCTTTCTGACTCTCCCAGACACTCTATATCTCCACTCTCTCTACCTTCAGTAAACTCCGCTCTTACTTCCTATCAGCTCATGTTGGATTTCTATCCCGCCCAAAGCCAAGGTCCTACAGGACCTCCTCTGGGTCCTTGGACCCAGACAACCTGCATCACGACCACGCGGCTACAGATTGGAGGTTCCCGCGACCCCTCCTTGGCAATTCAATTCAGATGCCACTTGCAAGTCTACCCTGTCATCTGTACTTCCGACCAACTGGCCATAAGTCAGAAGTTTCCACAAACCCCTCCTTTAGTTTCATTTGCTAGAGAAGCTCACAGAACTCAGAGGAGCGTTTTCCTTACAGCTCACTGGTTTGCTATAAACGGATATAACTCAGGAACAGCCAGATGGCGGGATGCATAAGGCGAAGTGTGGAGAAAGGGCTCAGAGTTTCCATGCCCTCGCCAGGCACGCTTCTTTCTTCACACCTGCACGTCTTCCCCAACCCAGAAGCTCTCCAAACTGTGCCCTTTTGGGTTCGTATGGAAGCTTCATTGCACAGGTATGGTTGATTAACTTATTGGCCACCTGCAATTGAACTCAGTCTCCAGCCTCTCTGCCTTCCCTGGTGCTGGGGGGCAGGGGCGCAAGGTCTGAAAGTCCCAATCCTCTATTTACGTGGCTGGTCCTCCTGGCCACCAGTCCCCACCCTTGGGTTTCCCTGGGGCTTTCCAAAAGTCACCTTCCTGGGGCGCCTGGGTGGCTCAGTAGGTTGAGCATCCAGCTCTTAGTTTTGGCTCGGGTCTGATTTCATGATTCCTGGGATTGAGCCCCGTGTTGTGTTCCACGCTGCCTGTCAGGAGCCTGCTTGGAATTCTCTCTCCCTCTCTCTCTGCTTCTTCCCCACTTGTGTGCTCGCTCACACATGCACGTTCTCTCTCTCTCTCTCTCTCTCTCTCTCAAGAAATAAATAAACTTAAAAAAACCCACAAAAGTCACCTTGTGAACATAACAAAATACATCTTTATCACACTCATCACAGGAAATTCCAAAGATTCTAGTAGCCGTGAACTAGGAACCACAGACAACCACCAAATACAATATATTGGTCATGTGAATGACCAAAGGCATATTTCCTGTGAATCACAGTCTCACACCTGGAGACACGAATTCCCTGTACTTTTGGCTAATGCACGATTCGAACTACCCTGCTGCATCCAAAATGTGCACAGAAGCTAGTATAGTGGTGCTGGGAGCATCAGAGAGAACATACATATCCTACCTTGGAGGTATCTAATGTGAGATCAGGAAATGCTCAGGGCTCAAAGAGTTAAGCTATAAAATCAGAGCACCAGATTTGCTCAATGCTAAGATGTATGCTTTTTGCTTTTGAGTGTTTCTGGAATAAGGATCCACCTGATGTTTTTGATGTCAGCTGAAACTGGCCAGCCTTGGAAGGAGCGGTGTAAGTTTCTTCCTGAAACAAGTTGATCCCAGTGGACTGTCCCGGCATTGCTCTCGTTAATAGGACCACATGTGGTGGAATTTAATGTGAATGTGCATTCCTGGTTGTTGCTTAAATGAGCTCAAAAGGACCAGCCTAGAATGCAGCATTAAAACAGAAATTATCAGGGTTGCTCAGTTGGCTAAGCGTCCAACTCTTCGTTTCAGCTCGGGTCGTGATCTTATGGTTCATGAGTTGGAGCCCCTCATGAGGCTCCGTGATGACAGTGTGAAGCTTGCTTGGGATTCTTTCTGTCTCCCTTTCTCTCTGCTCCTCCTGTGCATTTCCTCTCTCTCAAAATAAATAAACTTTAAATAAATAAAACAGAAGTTACCACGTGTGCAGATAATAAAACTAAAAACAGTAGAAATGGCCAATCTCCGCGTGTAGATCACACATCTGTCTAGAACATTGATAACAACAATGAGAATTTGCAAAGCTAGGAGAATTGCTGTGACTAAATCATGCAGCAAGCCATCATTCATCATCCACAGTTCCATCTGCAAATGCTTCTGACTGGTTCTAAGAGAAACT